TGTGATTAATCACTATGCTTTAATTATGTTTAATTTGTAACAATGAAAATACATCCTGCATATCAGATATTTAGATTACGATTCATAACAGTAGCAAAATTACAGTTATGAAGTAGCAACAGAAATAATTTTATGGTTGGGGGTCACCACAACATGAGGAACTGTATTAAAGGGTCGCGGCATTAGGAAGGTTGAGAACCACTGCTTTAGAGGAACAGCATCAGCTTACAAAGCACTTGCTTTAGGTGAAGTCCTTCAGGGCCTCACTGATAAGGTGACATTTGAACTGATACAGGAAAAAGGCAACAAAATAAGCCAAAATGAGATCTGGTGTAAGAGTGATCCAGTTAGAGACAACTTGAAGAGCAAAACACCAAAACAAAAGTGTGGCCAAAAGAATGAAATGGGACTGTGGGAGCTGAAAAGTGTGTGTGGAGACGTCTGTGAAAAAGAGAATGGTAGGCAGTGAGATCAGAGAACGCACTAATCCTCAAAAGCTCTGTATGGGGCATGATCTATCATTTTCTTCAACTTAGAGTTTAAGGAAATTTACAACAATTTAAATAGTTTGCAAAAGCAGACTCCCCTAAGGATAATATTTAAACCACATAGAGCTATTTATAAAATATGTGTTCTTAAAAGTTATACTGTAGTAGTGAGTGATGAAATAGCTAAGCTGCACAGTTTTGCATAAACCCATGGGTCTGTGGACCCTGAGAAGAAAGATTCATTTGATGTGAACCCTAAGAAGCAATTTATCAGCTGAAATGGACACTCCATGGTCCATAGAAGGTGCACATGTTATGAATAATAAGAGCCTAGTGGCCACTTGCTGACAGGGCTTCTGATGCACAAGGACCTCACACTAGACCACAGGCTCCCCCACTGCACCCAGCTGTTCACACCATCTGACTCAACCGCTGCAGGGAAACCCTGGTTTCATCTTTCTACCAACAAACTGAGACCTGCTCTGTCAAATCAGAACTATATTATTTGGGTACATCATTTACATAAAAGAGACCGAATTGAGAACCTGGGCAGAACTTTTACTGTAAAATGTGGCCTCCCCTTTGTCTCAGTGGAACACAATTTAAGTTGCTAACTGATCCTGTATCCCAGGCTACACCTGTGTTTACACAGATTTTTCTCCTTTCTAAATTTTCCTCCTCCATTTATTGCTCGCCGCTCAATAATGCACCCATCAGGGCTTAGCCTCAAGGTCCTGTTTATAAATGCACCACATAAAAACCAAGTACATTTGTTCACACATATATACACAAGTGCCCTAGCACATATAAAGATAATTTAAAAATGCATGGGAAAAAGTGAGTTATTCTGGAAAACCATTCAAGTCAGCCACCCTTGTGGCTAAAGAGTGAGAGAAGCCACTGCTTTTGTTGGCTACGGGCACCCAGTTCCTCTCACTCTGAGTCTTATGGCTGACTCATTTGCATATTGCTTCCATTGGCCATGTCATGTTTAAGTGAAAAAGGTACTTTATTGGACTTGTTTAACTTAAAGAAATGTTTTCCAAGCAATAGCTAAGAGTTTAATTTTATTTTTTTAATTATTGAAAATAAAATTTTCTGGATTCCAGTTGGTGTTCAAAATAAAGAACAATCTCTATGTTATTCAACTCAAAATAAATTCTGTCTCAGCCACTTACTGAGTGATGCTAAGTCACCAAATTCTACTGAGTTCCAGACTCAGCTTGGGCATCTGTGAAACAAATACTAATACTCACCAGTTCATTGTGAAAACAAAACTAAAGGAAAATACCAATGCAGGGCCCAAACAAGTAATTCAAGACATAGGATAAATATAATAGTTTAACATTTGTTTAATAAAACAAAACCATTTGTCTAGTGCCTATGATATGTAGACACTGCTTTAATTTTTGGTATATATTAACTTATCCAACTGCCACAATATTTTCACTAAGTACTATTATTATCATTTTATACAGCTATTGGTCTGCCCAAGGAGATGAGAGAACTTGCTCCAAACCCACATGTCATTAGCCAGGCCCTGTTCTCAGCACTGAGGGTCCATCATTCAGCCCTTTTGCACCCTAGGTAGGACTTATGGTATGGCTAGCATTTCGTGGAGGAAGAGAAGAGGTTCAGAAAAGCCTGGTAGTAAGTATGTAGTCCTGTGGTTATAATAGGGAAGGAGACTCAACCACTGTGCCCTCTGCCCTGGGTGACCAATGAGCCCAAATAAGTTAAGGAACCAAAGAAAATGTCTCTTTCTTGGAAATAACTTTATGATGAAACATCATTGTTTTTTTTGGTTTGTTTGTTTTTGTTCTTTTTTTCACCATTGTTTTTAACCATAATGTAGCTCTCTGATTCCTGAGACGATTGGCAACATTGCTGAGGCTCGGAAAAGAAACAGAAAGGCCAGCCTCCTCTTTGTTAGCGGGTTATCCCCTGTCACACACCACTGCTCTCAGCCTCATGCTGAGAGCAGAAGCCAGCACCCATTTGTAAAGCAGAGATAACAGGGACCTAAATGGTTTTCTACATCTCAACTGAGGTATTTATTCATGTGATATAAAAAACTCACTGCATTAAGGTAATTTGATTTAGAAATATTTTCCTTGAAAGGGTTCTAAATAATGTCCCCATATTCTATCTAATGAAAGTGGAAAGAGCCATATTTCCAATTAAACATTTAAAAACACCTCACCCAGAAATTATCTTGCTGAATTTCTAGCAATAAATTTCATTGAAGCTAATGTGTGGTTTGAGAACAAAGTGTTTGTTTCCATGGAAAGAGGAATAAAGAAAGCGTGTAAACATAATTTTAAGTTCCCTGAGAGATAATCTCTGAGGATAGGTGGTCTTTACTGATCTATGTGTGTGAAAAAATTGTTTTGCTGAGCACTTGTAAAGAAATTTTATCAGCTATTGTATTTTTTGGTTTAACGTGAGTGTCCGTCCTTTTACCCTTGCACAGCAACCTATGATTAAATCTCACTACATTGTGTTTCAACCATGTTGATTTGACTGTCTTATCCACTAGAGTAGGAGCTTCGTGAGGCCAGAGGCTTATCCTTAGTTATCTTCGTGTCCTCAAAGTCTTGCCTAGAGCCTGGGAATGAAGCAAGAGGGTGCCCTCGTGTAATAAGTTACAACTGCAGGGAGTTCACTGCGCAGGGACCATGAGCCTGAAGGTGTGTAAGAGAGAGGACAACCAGGAGACATGTGCTCTGCAAACAAACACTCCGTCTATTTTAGCGTTTCTCACTGATCCTTCTCCCTTGTTTCTCCAATCAAGAAGGTTTTGAGAAAATTAATGTTCACCGTTTGCAGTATTAAAAAAATACATATTTATTTTCTAAATATAAGGTCATAGCCAAGTACTGAATATGTTATTTGCCACTACCTCCTTACCATTTCCCCCCTGGAGCACTGATCTCCTTTGGAGGTGTTTCCTCCCCATTAATTGAGTAAAGCTAGTATTGGTAAGTAAAGCCATACATCCTTTTAAACATGTATTAAATCACTACTAAAAGAATGGGTTACTAACTACATTGTCTAGGGTGTACTGCGTATGGAAAGTGATGTTTTAGAGATCCAGGTGATAGTCATATTTGAAACAAGCTCCTTACGTGTACTACTGTCACAGTTAAGATTAATGTGTTTAATCATCCAAGCATATACTCTCATGATATTGCCGAGGCTGGGACAAAGCTGGGAAGTCTCTTCCTCCCTGTACTGCTGTGATTTTGGCCTCCTGGGGGTGCTACACTTGAAAGTATGTATGCAGAGGATGTCACCTGCAGTCTCCATTTCTGAATGCTTCTCCTGCTACTGCTCCAACTGGCAAAGATCTGAGCCTATGCCAATGCCTATGGCTTTATCTCAGCTTCCTTTTGCTCTTAAAGAATAAAAAGAAAAGTAGATCTCTTTCTACTTTTTAGTCTCATATTTCATTTGTACAATTTCTCCCCTTATGCCTTTGTAACGAACATTCCTATCTCCCAAATATCACTCCCCTTCTCCCTTGGAAGCCCGTTATCCCACTGGTCTTTGAAAGACATTTCTTTATGGCCATTAAAACAAAAACCAAGTGGAGTCTTTCCTAATGTAGAGCTAATTTACTCATGCCTTCCCAACTACAAAATCTTACCATCTGTTGGTTGAGTCACCGACTGTCTGGTTGTGCAAAGCATGCAATCTTAGTAGACATTTTGGCATTTGGAAATTAGCCTTTGAGTACCTGGAAAACCAATGAAATATTTCAGGAAGCATAGTAGCTTCTGGCAGATGCGTGCATTCATGTTGTACTCAGTTTTTGAACTCAAGGGCCAAGCACTGAGCTGGGCCTGCAAGGGAGCAAGCAGAGGCTAAGGCTGGTTGGCTCTGCTTTCCAGAAGGTCATAGGCAGTTGAAGAAAGTCTTGTGCCCAAATTCCCACAGTTAACTTTATGTTAAGTGACTGACTCAGAGTGCATTCAATAAATACTGCAGTGTTTTAGAAATGGAAAAGATTAATAAAGTATGAATTTAAAATAAAAACCACATGTGCCCAGCCAGTATGGCTCAGTGGTTGAGTATCAACCCATGAACCAGGAGGTCAAGGCTGGATTCCTGATCAGGGAGCATGCCTGGGTTGTGGGCTTAATCCCCACTAGGGGGCGTGCAAGAGGAGCCTATCAGTGATTCTCATTATTGATGTTTCTCTCTTTCTCCCTTCCTCTTTCTGAAATCAATAAAAATATATCTGATATATTGATATATTGTTTAAAAACACATGTATTACCAGTAGCCTCAGTTCCTAGAACTTAATGAGTTTTTATGAATTGGTCACCCATCAACTGGCTTCAAATATCCCCATTTATGCCTATAGTATATTCTCCAACATTGATTGCTTTTTTTGTGGGGGTGGGGGGTGGGGGGTAGGGAGTGAGGGCTCCTTTTCTTTTCTTGGAATGTAACTGTGAAAACTCAGTTTTGATTTTTCTCTTGTACTTTTATCACATTCTCAAATAGAAAGACAGCTTATAGAGCATTCGTAACACCTGAAAGAAGTGCAAAGGACCAGTGTCTCTGCTCCGAAGGCTGGGAGTCATCCTTTTATTACAGACATGCATGAATTTCTAGTCACAGAAGTTTTCCAAGGACTGAGCTCCTCGTATTCTACATTTATAATATAGAAACCAGAGTTAGCTCTTAGAACAGGTGCAAAAACTAATACTATAACTTATAAGCATAGTTTCACACTATTTAAAAAGTTAAGTTTACTATAAAACAATGCATCCCAGGGGAAATGGAGATTAATCTGTAATTTGAAATACCAGAAAGTTTGGTAGAGAACTCAGAAGAAAACATATTATAAAAATAAGATATTGCCATGATGTCCAACAAGGTATCTTCTTCCCCTCTCACAGTTCCTGGGGTTAGTTTTATCTCTGGGAAGTTCCTGGCCATCTGATTATTTCCTTATCCAAATACCTTGGATAGGCCTAGTGCTTTATCCTTTCAATTGGTATTGTGTTTTGTTTTAATTAATTTATTATTAACTCTGAATTCCTGTAGTTTCAAAGATTGTTTTTCTACCCTTCAAAAAGTAGCCCAATTGAAAGACATTCCAGGGAGAGAACAAATATCAAATAGACAAGGGTAATGATAGCTATCTCTGACATCTAATATTCTCTTCTTTTTATTTCTGACTAGATGCTTTGATGACTATGGGCTCTTGTTGATATGTGTATCACCATGGTTTCCTGAGGGATTTAGCAGAGAGGAGGTGCTGAGTGCAATTCTTAGCACACGGTAGGTGCTATAAATGTTTCTTAAATTGAATAGTTTCCTGAAACTAAAATATAAAAATATTGTCAATTGTCTTTAAAAAACAATAAGCATACAATTTAATTTTACAATGCTAACTTCTTTTCCATATGATTGGCCAGGAGGTTTGGTCTAAGAGCCTTCATATTTACCTCCTGTATACAAGACAGAAATATGGTTACCTACTATCACTAAACTGACATATTTGAGGCCATATATCTATTTATTGATCCTAATCTTTTCCTCCTGAAAAAGAGCCTTTGTTTGCTCTCCTGGGTGATGGAGTCAATCACTCCAATAATCACTCTTTTAAGTTTATCATAGAACATCTTAAAAAAAGTAAATTTTTTGAGAAACAAAGCATTAGTTCCCTACTCCTTGCTCAGAAAGCTAGGTAAAATCTGGTGAATGGGTTCTGCCCTAGGACCAACTCATGGTAATAATTATTGCCAAATTAATGAACCACATATGTTTAATATAGGTTCAATAAAAGCATATTTTTAATGGAGACTGAGTACTTTAAATTCAAGAGAGCCAATAGCCAGAGGATCTCAAGTATGAGTGGCAAGAGAAGAATCAAACCATAATTCACAGTATCCAAGAATGTTCTGGCTTTGCAGGTTTCTGATAGCTAACTCTAAGGTCTGCTATCATTTATGGTTGGGCAACTTAGGGTCAGGATAGCAGAAAGGCACTAGACCTATTACTTCATGCTGTATTTTTAATGTGAAAACATATAACTTCCTGAACATTCTGCAAAAATGTACATAATGTTAATCATTCATATATCACTTACTGTGGTGGGATGAAATAAGTGTATATTGAAAAGGTACGTTCTGAAGTGCACCATTGAAATATTAGTCACCGTGGTAATCATCAGTGGCCTCTTGTCCTTAACTTGCACCTCACCTGAAGCACCATAGTCCATATCTAAAGGCAGAGCTACATTCTTGCACAACGGATGACACCTAACTGCTGTCTACAGTAGAATTCCAGAGCAAATATGAACATCTGCAGACTGTTTCCACCTGAATGATACTTCACCCTTTAAGCCAAAATGATCTCAAGAGAATTCCTTATTGTCTTCCATAAAAACTGTATCATTTTTTGATGTTATGATTGGTACCACCAGTTGTTCAACCAAAAAAACAGGGAGGCAACCTTGTCCTAAACAACTAATCTAATTGATTTTCCTTATTAGTGGTTGCACCTATCTCCTTGCTGCTATCACTGTTACTGTCTTATTCCAGCCCGTAGGCTGTTGGAGTAACCTCATTTGTTTCCCAAGTTTTTTTCTAAGTCATCTTACACATTCTCTGGTACCTCTGACCAAATTTTGTCATTAACAAAATTAAAATTATTTTAACTCTATGAGTTAAAATAGAAAGCAATGTTACAGCCAGGAACACAAAATCTATTGACATAACCCCAGGATGCTTATCACTTCCTTCACTTGCTGGTAAATTGTTGGGAACTTGGGTGTTGCAGTGGTCTTGTTCCTCAGGAATTATATTCCATGACCTTCTCTTTGCCACACTCTCTGTGTCCCTCACCCCTTACTCTCAGATGGTGTCTGGGAGTGTCCATCCTAAGTCACTCCCTAGGGGCAAGTACATTCTATCTTGTTTACTGAAATGGAAATTGCTACTCCCCACCATTAATCCATGTCATCTTTTAGTGAGAGCACTTGTCATTACAATCACCTTAACATTACCTATTTAAAACCAGTCATGTCATCACATTATTTAAAGGAGTAAAATTCATGCTGTAGCTAAAATAAACATTTTTAAAAAGTCAATTACCTTAATGAGTTGCAGGTGGGGATAGAAAAAAGGTGTTTGAAAGGACATGCCAAGGTGAAGTGGGTGATGGAAACCAGAGGAGTGTGGTTTGACTCATGCAGCAGAGAAAGCAAATGTGTGTGACTCTCCAGAGCAGAACAGACAGCTGTCCTACCAGGCACTGTCTGAATCCTCAGTGAAAGGTTATGGGAAGAGAGGGGTAGTACACACACTGGGAACTTGAACACAGCATTGAAATCTATATCATGGGAGGAAAAGGGACTCCTCGCAGAGAAAAGAAAGTAGTGAAGCAAAAGATGTTGATGTAATGAAGGCCGTGGTGATGTATACACAACCCGGGCCTTTTCAGGCATCACTCAACTGCTATGGGTGCATCTGCCAGGTCATTTTAAAGTCAAATCTATCCAGGGCTGAATCTCTCTCTCTTTCAGATATTATCTGGATAACACCCAGTTATTTATTTTGTAATGATAAGGGTTAACTAGCTAACTGAAATAGACAGGAAGGAGGGGTTGTCCAGGCAGATGGAAACATTTCTGACCTGAGTAGTTGGGAGATGAAAGGCAACTCCAACTAGTAAGATAAATGGGAGAGGATGTGGAGGCACCACGTGGGCTTTAGACTTTGAAACAAATACTATGTAACAGAACGACCAATGAGGAAAGCACAGGTGTCCTAAATTAAAACAAGGTCCAATTAGAAAGGGTCAGGTCCAGACAAAGAACTGCAGCCTTTATAAACCAGGAGTCAAAGAGACTCAGCAGATTTCAGATTTTACAGATTCAGATTATTTAGATTTTTTCCCATTAGAGAAGGAGAAAGCATGCTTTCCCCATTTGGGGGCCCCTTCCCTGAGGGTCCCCTTTGGTGACACACTTGCCCAGATGGAGTTTGTATATGCTTCCAATAAATGTCTACATAGCTATTAAATAAATCTATTAGTCCACGAGTTTATTCTTCAAACTTCCCGAGGACAAGGACCCACAAAATAAACTGTACTCTGAACTCCATGTTTCAGTAAGAAGATCTATTAGTTAGTTTCATTGTTTTTTTCCCCTTATCCTGATCCAAATTTTCCCTATAGATGTTACAAACCAACTGACAAACTGTTCTCTGCTTTTCAGGAAAAACATAAAAAGTGAAAAATTAAAAAACAAAACAAAAACCACACACACACAAAAAGACATGTACATTCTTCTATATGTCACTTTTAAAATTGGGATTTAAAGGGGACCATGCTCCTCAAAGAGGGGTACATGTGCATGTACCAAGGCATATACAAGATATGGCAAAGGGTATAGTAAAATTCCCAAAGTAATTCTCTCCTGGGAATCAAACTTTGGGTTAAGAATCCTTTAATTTTGAATTCTAAAATGTTTTTGAAAGTCATGTACCACCTAATGTACTAGAATTTTCATGTTGACAAATTTCATGGATTTTGTTAAGCTTGGAAGAGTAGAAAACCTGTATGTGCAATAAATGATTGAAAAATAATGTCTATGATCTTTTCTGTTGTAATTAATTTCCTGAGTGCAATTAATTTTTATTAAAAATCAATACATTGAGAAAACCCAGATGGCAGCATAGGTAAACGCCAGTATTCACCACCTCCCACAATCACATCAAAATTACAACTAACACAAAACAACCATCATTCAGAACTGCCTGAAATCTGGCTGAATGGAAGTCCTGCAACTAGAGAAGTAAAGAAAGCACAGTGAAGCTGGTAGGAGGGGCAGAGGCACAGAATGAGCTGGTCCAACATCCACATGTAGCTTATTCTTCAATCAGGAGGGATATCTTGGCTATGGAGCTTTCCCGTTTGAAGCAAGCGGTCCCAGCCCCACACCAGCCCCCTAGCCCAGGGTTCCAGAGCCAGGAGAAGTCCCCATAATTTCAGTCTGTAAAAAAAAGCTAGGATTGTGGCTGAGTGACACAGAGGCTGCTAGAGTCCCAGGGAGTTCCTCTTAAAGGGCCAGCACATGAAATTACACAATCCCACTTCCTCTGAGTTCCAGTGCTAGATGACGGCTTTGGGGGATTCAGGGACATACAAAGAGCTACTGGAATATCTAGCATCGGGTAACTCAGGGATGGCTTTCTCCAAATGTGGGTTGCTCACAGGGGTAATTGTTCCTATACTGGGGCCTCCCTGTCTCAGAGCTGTCTGGCAACCATATCTGAGTTTCCATCAGTGTGGCCCACACCATTTACTCCACCATAGTAATTCACTGACACCCTACCCCATCTAATTTGCAGTCCCACCCAATCTGTTTGCAGAGGCTTTTCCATATGAGTGGCCTGTCCTGGCTCAGGCTTCAGACTTTACAAAAATCTCTCAAACAAGCAGCAGCTGGTGTCAGCATACCCTAAACCTGTCAATAAAAGGCCAAAGACCTGGCCCTAGCACCAGCCTGCCTTGCTTCACAGCTGGGCCTGGCTTGGGCACTTTCAAGCCCAATATGAGTAGCAGCCATCTGCATATTTCTCTG